CAGGTTGGGTGAGGCTCTGAGCAACCTGGTCTAGTGGGAGGTGTCCCTGCCCATGGCAGAGGGGCTGGAACTAGATGATCTTTAAGGTCCTTTCCAGCCCAGACCCGTCTGTGACATGATTCTATCATCCATACAGAGCATTACAGCCAGTTAATAGCAGTGTGCATTACTGAACTTTTTCAGGAATATGAAGCCATCTATCTAGCAAAGTTAACCATCCAGATGATGTCCCCACTGCAGCTGGAGAGGTCCCTCTCGGTTCCACCCGGTACCACAGGTCAGGAGCCTCTTGGGTGTGATGCCACCTGTCCTGCTGGGTGCTGTGAGGGGACGTTTGCACTGAGTAAACACCCACCTCAACCTTTTGGGAAGGGGAGGGCTGTAAATATTGTGACTTTACAACATCTAGAGGTGTTCCAAGTAGCTTCTTCAGAGGTATCCCCCTTCCTCTTGCCTTCTGCAGGAAGTTTGAAGCGAATGCACGAAGAGGATGAAGAACTTGGAACCATGCAAGTGGCAGCAGCACAGAACGGATGATGCCCGAGGACAAGCACTGTTCAGATTGCAAATTCCTGCCAAGAAAGGTGAAGAAAACTAGGGGAAAAAAAAAAAACAATTTCATGCGAAACAATGAACACACATGCAGAGCTTCTTTTCAATTACTTGTTGCTTTCAAATGTACATCTGCCTCTGCGACACACTAAGCATCATTTTTAAGATGTTGGACTTCTTGAATGAATAGATGGCACTGATTGTTTTACTCCTTTTTTACACTTTACAGTTTTATTCTAAACCAAGATTTTTGGACTTGCAAAGAGGTATTATTGCAATAATGCACTTTTCATACTTGAAATTTCTTTATTTGTATGATATAAAGTTATTACTTAAAAAAAAAATGCAAGCGGGGGGGGATTTGTTTATAAAGTTATTTGTGTAATTTATAACAAGAGAATTTAGTAAAGAAAGTTTGCTAAAACTCACCTTGTTCTCAATATATATATTATGGTTGTGCTCATAGAAATTTGCTTTATGAACCACCCTGTGCCACTGGCAGCTGAGCAACAGCAGCGACCCACTCAGTAATTTAACTCTTTGCCTTGTTAGAAAACATCATTATATACTGAATTATTTTGGGGTCTGACACTCTGAGACCAATTTAAGACCAAGTGCTGTTCTGAAAGTCTCACCTTGTTTTATGCAAGTTAAACTTCACAGGAGTATTGATTAATTACATAATAAAATAGGCATGTGCTGAGTTAATACAGAGGGCAGCTACCAATTTTACACGTGGCAAGACTGAATTCTTTTAGCTAGCATTAAAAAACTGCTTGTTAAATGAGTTAGTTGATTTCAGTAGCAATGGTCCATCTGTCTGCTAGAACAGTGCATCTCCAAGCAGGTACTGAAGGAGCAATTCCCTTTGTCAGTCAATAGTTGCATCATTTCCTATCACCTGGACTGGGCAGAGGGGAGCTCTGCTGTGAGGATCAATCCTGATGCTGCCGTTTCCTGGAGGATCCTCCAGCAGCTCGTTGACTTTGTAGGAACCTGTTGACTTTGTAGGAGTTTCTGCTCCCTTTGTGTACTCAGGGCAAGCTGACCACGCCTGCAGCTTGCTGATCTTGGCTTAGTCACTGATCCTCCCAGTTGACCAGCTGGGTGTGCAGTGCTGCTCTCCTGGTGTAGGGTTTGACTGACTCTCTTCTCAGGAATTCCTCTGGAGCTGTTGGGAAATAGCCTCAGATGTGTCACCGCTCGCCCTGTGAGGCTCGGCGGGGTCCGTGGGTGTCTGTCTGTCTTGCACAGCTCACCAGATGCTTCTGATGAAACGAGGGTGGGAACCAGAAAAAAAGGCCTAAAATTGCCTTCTGTTTAAGGTCCCCTGGGAAGGGGTAGGGATGAAACACAGATGGAGGAAGGCTCTGGATTCAGCCAGCTCTCCCCTGCCAGAGAGGCTGGTTGGTGTCTAGTCCGGTTCTGTTATCTCACCGGGGCTCTGGTCCCTCTCTGGGGAGACTGTTTCACAAACTAACAAGCTTCATGACTAACCATTTTCCACCAATCTTATTTTGCTTTTCATGCCATTACCCCCTACTGATGCCTCCTACAGTCATGCTGGTCTGTCTGCCTGCTGCCTTGCAGATAACAGCCTCTCAGATCCGAAGGGATTCTGAGATTCGTTTCCCTCAGATCTATTATTAAGCCTTTTTATTTAAAACTTCTCAACATCTGTCTCATTTACTTTACTGCTGTAGGTGTTTCAGTTACTGTTGGCTTTCTGTGGTTGAGCCAAAGGTGGTAGCTGGCAGCAGGGGCCCCTCACTGTAGCCTTGCAGAATCAGCAGGGGTTGAATGTCCTCATGTCCCAAGGTCCAGGCAGAAAGCTGATTTGGGGGATCCACAGATTTATGTTAAGGGGGTGAAGTTCCCTTTCTGACTTAGGGGAAGCAGAGTGAGGGAAAATGAAATCCTGAGGAGGAGGCAAAATTAAACCTTTGGAGAAGCAGGTAGTTACCTTAGGGTTGATATTTGGGATTTCGGTAGACCTTCTTGCAACCTTTCAATACTTAAAGGGGGCCTTGAAGAAAGCTGGGGACAGACTTTTTATCAGGGCCTGTTGGGACTGGACAACGGGTGATGGGTTTAAGCTAAAAGAGGGAGATTTAGACTAGAGAGAAGGGATGAATTTTGGCTGCTGGGTGTGGTGAGCCCCTGGCCCAGGCTGCCCAGAGAGGTGGTCGCTGCCCCATCCCTGGAACCATTCCAGGTGAGGTTGGCCGGGGCTCTGAGCAACCTGCTCTAGCTGCAGATGTCCCTGCTCAGGGCAGGGGGTTGGACTGGATGGCCTGGAAAGGTCCCTTCCCACCCAGCCCAGCCTGTGATTCTGATGGGATCCTTGGTTCCGTTTTCCCCTGGGAGGGAGGTCTTGCTGTTTACTGTAGGTATAAATCCAGGTGCTTTTTCAGTTTGGGAGATGCATGATGTATTTTAGCACCACCTGCTGCTGTTAAATGCTGTTATTTGTGCCATTTCCCTGGTTCCTGTGAACTGGGACCATTTAAAGTACACAAACCTGTGTCCAAGGTTTCCTTCCAGCTGGCTGGGCTGTGCCTGAGCCCACAGCACCTCCCTGACCCTCCTGGTACCAGGGCAGCTCCTGCTCTGCCCCCGGCCCTCTCCTCACGTCATGTTTCCAGTGGGGTGCAGGACAAAGAGCTCTTCAGAGCCGCGGGGATGCTGGTGACCTGGAGCCTGCCCAGCAGAGGCATTGTCACCGAGCCACAAACCCAGCTTTCAACCCCAGTGGTTTGTCTGCCAGTGATCTAAGCTGGGCACACCATCGCCTGCCCCTTGCTCCTACTCCTCATTAACTCTTAATGAGGGCCCAGAGCTGTTTAGGTGGGGTGGATAGCCCAGAATTCAAATAATCCACTTTAAATTAACGGATGTTCAGAATTAATTAAAACTGTGAAAAGCAAGAAAATCCACCAGGGTCATTCAGGCCCAGCAGAAATGAGTGGCTGATTTTATGGGATTAGTTCAGAGTTAGGCATGAGCCCTGGCCTCGTGCCCATGTCTAAGCAATCCAGATGTTTGGATCCATGGCTACAGGAGGGGCACTTTGTGCCTGCAGGTAAAGGCTCCCCCATGCCAAGAACATCCTTTGAGGATTTGCTGTGTAGAAGTCATCCTTGCAATGATGAAACTGTGCAAAACTGTCTAAAATCAATATAAGCCTCAAAAAGTGTTATTTTCAGCCTCCAGAAGGGAAAACAAAGGTTTTTGCAGCAGGTGGTACTGAAAGACAACAGCTACAGCAACAGGGCAGCCAGACCAGATCCATTTGGCAGTCTTCATTTATTCAGCTTAAACAAAGAGCTTTTTTTTTTTTCTTAAAAATAATCAATAAATAAACCAGACATCACCAAGGAGACACTACAGTGAGTGCTGTACCATCAGGAGCAGCACACAGCACCCCCACCGTGGCTCCAGGAGCTCTGCAGGTGCCAGGGAAGGGGGGTTCTGTGCTGCTGGAGCCCCCACCCCCCCAGTGTCCAATGCCCTGGTTGGAGCCAGAGGATTCCTCACTCCACTGTCAGGGCCTCTGACAGCAAAAGTGTTGAAACCACAGAGCTGAGTTTACAGCCAGGAGGTCTCCGAAGCAGCAACGATCCCTCAGGACAGGGGTGAGGATTTCTCTGCTGGTTTGAGACCTCACCAGAGTAAAACCACAGCCCCCTGCTCCTCAGGGGTTCCAGCCCAGGGAGCTGCATCCCTCACTGCCCACCCCAGCCCCAGCCAGGAGTGGCCAGAGCCCCACTGAGGGCGGGGTCTAGTCTCCATCAGACACCCCAGTTCCTTCTGCCCTGCGACAAAACAAATATCCTGAAAACCAAGTTATCAGCTAAAGTGCAGGACCCCTGCGGGGAGAAGCACCCGGCTATTTTCAGGCTAGGCTTTAGCAAAGCTCGTAAAGGATTCTCCCCCCCCCAACCCCATAAATAGCAACAAAATCGGATCTGGGAAATGGGGCCACTAAAACTGGAGTGAGTTTTTGTGGGAAGAACAGGCCCAGCTCCCACTGCCCCTCACGAGTTCCTGCCCCAGCTCCGCCGTCCTTCCACGGGAGTAAAGGACAAACCTTTAGAAAAATACAGTGCCAGAAAAAATCTGAGATAAAAATATAGACCTTTGGTTAAAAACCATCCCTTTAAGAGTCCTTTGTCACCCAGCTAGAACTAAACCAGCATCACTCAGACTGAACAGTAGTAAAAATGAGTTCTAAGCACTTCCTTCCTAACCCAGAGGACCCTTCTGAACCCTCAGTGATTTCTGTTTCCCCAGGATTTACACATCTGCTGTTCAATAGTTATAGGGTTCATTATATTTGCAGCAATAAACTATTTAGAAATTTTCCACGAAGAGAATGTTTGTAACACAAGCTTCTCCACCAACAGTCTGTACCCCAAAGAAAAAGAAGGAAAAAGGACAAGATGTCCTTAATTAAAGAACCGCTGGAACATGTAGTTTTCCTCCGATACCGAGTAGCCAAACTTCTTGTAGAAATCCACATTTTTTGGCAGACACTCCAGTGTGATTTTGTAACAGTTCAGTCTCTTACTTAGCAACGTCAGGGTGGACGTTAGTCTGAAAGAGAGAGAAAACCAACAGTTAAAAAAACATCCCTGAATGCAGGATCAATTAATATTTAATTAGCTAAAGGAATCAGACCTACAGTCCTGACATGTTAGAGCCCTCCGCACTTCCCCTCACCAGCAGCAGAGCTGCTACTCAAGGAAAAATGAACAGAGTATCACAGAAACAGGAATATTTTGGGTGGGATGGGACCTTTAAATGTCATCCAGTCCAACCCCCTGCCCTGAGCAGGGACATCCCCAACTAGAGCAGAGCAGAGGGGCAGGATCCCCTCCCTGCCCTGCTGTCCACGCTGCTGAGGGTGCAGCCCAGGCTGCCAGGGGCTCCTGGCCAGCTCCTCACCCCCAGCACCCCCAGGGCCTTCTCCCCAGGGCTGCTCCCCAGCCCTTCACACCCAGCCTGTCACCTTGCAGAACACTTTATGTTACCATTACAAGACCCCCAGCTGGTGCAGGCTCCTGGCTGAAGCCTTTCCTCATGCCTGGCTGGGAGGCTCTGCCCTGCAGAGCTCACCTCCTGCTCTCAGAGCCCTGTGAGCCACCTCTGGCAGCTCCTGAGCCAGCACCCATTGGTGTGGATGGGTGGCAGGGACACAAACCAGCTGGGTCGGGGCTTGCTGTGGGATGGCAAGGGTGGGGACACACTTACAGTTTACCAAGCTGCTTTCCTCTGCACTCCCTGCTCACCACCACGTCTTCTATCCTTCCCCTCTGTTGAGAACACAGGCCTGTGTTAGTCGAGCACAACCCTGCTGTGTTGGTTTCCCCTCTGCTCTACATTCCACGCTTGGATTTTCCACTCTCTAGCCAGATGTGACTCCTCCAGTGGCTGACACCCTCAAGACACCCCTTCCAGCACCCAGCAGGAGCTGCAGTCCCACCCCAGCCCTTCCCCACGGGGAGAACTGGGTCCCTCAACTCCCTGTTCCCACAGGTCCAGCCGGGGCTCTGCGGTGGGGAGATCCTCAGCCACCTGCTGAGCCAGAACCGAGCCCGACTGGCTCGAGAGCTCTCTGGGAGGGAGGACAGGACAGATGTCAGACTGCTCCTTCTCCTTCAGAAAAGCCAAAGCTGCCTCGCAGCACTGAGCCGAGCGCCCCAGGCCGGGAGGTATTTTTAAGAGGCCACTGTAAGGTGCTCCCCCAGAGGGCAGCACTGTATAAACGAGGTGCAGGGCGAGGGGAGAGGATCACACACCTTTGCACAGGAGTGAGTGAACTTGTGCTCGATCACCAGCGTTGCCGTGGCAACGATCTGCCCAAGGTTGGTGTCCTCCACGACGGTGACATAGTAATCCCCCGATCTCTTCATGTGCTCAAAGGTTTCTGTGGGAGCAGAGGGAGAGTGGGACTGTCACTGCTCATCCCCAGTTAAATCACTGCCAAGTGGGGCACTGGGGAGGGGTCCTGCTGCAGAGCCTCTGCCTCGCTGCTGGGGCTGGGACAGTGCAGCCAACACAAGCCAGCCCCCTTCTGCCACGTACCTCAAGCTCAGCCCCAAAAGCAGCTGTACACTTTAGGCCTGTCCCAGACAAGGAGCTGGATCCAAAGCCAAATGCCAAAGGCTGCCTCAGGGGAGCTGAGCCAACAAACTCCTCTGGCAGCAGGCGGTTGGGAGCCCTGGCACCAGTGTCCTCTTGTTGCCAGCAGCCTCTCTAGAAATGCCACAAAATGGTGATGATACTCACTGATAAACTGCTCTGGGCTTGCCACGCCAGTTTCAGTCAGCTGAGCCAGAACCTTAAAAAAGCCTGTAATGAAAGGAGAGGATGAGAGAGACAATCAGCTCCACAGAGCACCAAACAACCCAACACGGATGGATGGAGAGTGAACATCCTCATGGCCAGCAGGAGCAGGGCAGGGATCAGCCCCCTGGACTGGGCACTGCTGAGGCCACACCTCGAATCCTGGGGTCAGTTTTGGGCCCCTGCCTCCAAAAAGGTCCTTGAGGGGCTGGAGCATGGCCAGAGAAGGGCAATGGAGCTGGGGAAGGGTCTAGAGCCCAAGTGTGGTGAGGAGCAGCTGAGGGAGCTGGGGGTGCTGAGCCTGGAGCAAAGGAGGCTCAGGGGAGATCTTCTGGCTCTGCACAGCTCCTGACAGGAGCCTGGAGCCAGGGGGGGGTCAGGCTCTGCTCCCAAGGGACAAGCAACAGGACAAGAGGAAACAGCCTCAGGCTGCCCCAGGGGAGGTTGAGGTTGGACCTGAGGAACAATTTCTTGCCCTTGAGGGTTGCCCAGGGCTGTGCCAGGCTGCCCAGGGCAGTGGTGGAGTCCCCACCCCTGGAGGGGTTTCCAAGCCGTGGAGATGTGGTGTGAGGGACACGGGGCAGTGGGGACCTGGCAGTGCTGGGGAAGGGTTGGACTCCATGATCTCCAAGGTCTCTTCCAACCCAACCCATTCCATTACCCTCTGCACCACCCAGTCTGGTTGCAGACAGAGGCCTGTGCTCTGCACATTCCACAACTAGGCCATAATCCCAAACCAAACTCTGGCTTTGAGCAGGGCTGAAGGATCAGCTAATGCAGCAGCAGGGAACTGCAGCTCGAGTGCAGACACACACGTTTGAGAAAGACAAGTCCAGGCCTGAAATGATGAGATATTAAAGCCCATGTGCAGAACAAGCTGTTTATCCAGGTTACAGCATGGCAGAACTCTCCAGGTGTGAAGAATAGGCTGGTTCACATCACTTTTATATCGAAGGGAAAAGTAGGAACAAGTGGCCTCCCTCTCTGTGGGTTATTTGGAAGATTTGATGTGGATGTGAAGATTGGTTATTAAAAGAGTAAAACCAACTTTAAAGGTCACCCAACACCACACCAATCCACACCACCATGGGCTCCAATTCCCTTCTGTCCAAAATAACCCAAATCAGATTAAAAAAGAAACCCTAATCTGTCACGAGACCCCACAGAAACACTCATCTCCTGCAGGCAGCTTCTGCTGGGAACGACCACTCAGGAGGCCCCTACCTCGGTTCACGTCAGCGGTGCAGAGGGGCCTCAGGACCAGCCCGTCGCCAGGCTCCAGAGGAGAGATGGCAGGAGAGAAGGTGGTGGTGTTCTGGCTCCAGTCCAGCTCCTGCAGGAGGCGTGGGTCGAAGATGGGCGTGTCGTCGGGCAGCAGGGCGGCCACGGGCATCATGGCTGCAGCGGCGCTGCAAGAGAAGGCGCGGGGAGGGGCGTGTGGGGGCCTCTCAGTGGGCTGCTTCCCACGGCTCTGTCCTGCCACGTGGTGCCCCTCAGGGGTGCAAGGAAAGGTGAATGGCACTTTCAGTTGCCACTGAAGCTCCTCAGCCTTCAGCACATTCTGAAGGGGGTTGAGAAGGAGCGTGAAGGACATGGCGGGTCAGAGCCAGCCCGCAGCTCGGGCTGGGGCAGGGATCGGGGGCACCCCAGTCACCTAGGGAGAACGAGCTGGGTGAAGTGTGGGTCTGCTGGAGGGTCAGGAGGCTCTGCAGGTGGATCACACCAGGATGGGTCCATGGGTCAAGGCCAGTGGGGTGAGGTTCAACAAGGCCAAGCGCCAAGTCCTGCCCTTGGGGCACAACAACCCCCTGCAGAGCTCCAGGCTGGGGGAAGAGGGGATGGAAACTGCCCAGAGGAAAAGGACCTGGGGGTGCTGGTGGCCAGCTGGCTGGGGATGGGCGTGTGCCCAGGTGGCCAAGAAGGCCACCAGCAGCCTGGCTTGTGTCAGCAGTAGTGTGGCCAGCAGGAGCAGGGCAGGGATCGTGACCCTGGACTTGGCACTGGTGAGGACACACCTCAAATCCCGGGTTCAGTTTTGGGCCCCTCACTCCAAAAAGGACTTTAAAGGGCTGGAGCGTGGCCAGAGAAGGGAAACACAAAACTAGGGAAGGGTCTAGAGCCTCCTAGTGTGGGGAGGAGCAGCTGAGGGAGCTGGGGGTGCTGAGCCTGGAGCAAAGGAGGCTCAGGGGAGACCTTCTGGCTCTGCACAGCTCCTGACAGGAGCCTGGAGCCAGGTGGGGGTCGGGCTCTGCTCCCAAGGGACAAGGGACAGGACAAGAGGAAATGGCCTCAAGTTGCCCCAGGGGAGGGTTACGTTGGATGTGAGGAACAATTGCCCAGGGCAGTGGTGGAGTCCCCACCCCTGGAGGGGTTTCCAAGCCGTGGAGATGTGGTGTGAGGGACACGGGGAAGTGGGGACCTGGCAGTGCTGGGTTAGTGAGTTGGACTCAATGATCTTAAAGGTCTCTTCCAGCCTGAACTCTTGCATGATTCTGTTTGCTCGGTGTGTTTACAAGACCTGAGCCCCTCTCACACTGCCAAGCACAGCACCTCACCACCACTCACAGGGAAAGGGCAGAGCTGCCGAGATGATGGGCAGACAGCAGTTAATAATTAAAGAGAGATTTGGGAATCACAGATTATTTGGAACCAGAGACAAGAGGAAGCAGAGGGGAGCATTCTCCTGCTTGCTAGATATAAACTGTTTCTTACTTTGTCACCTGTGGAACACCTGGTCGGGGTTCTGGTATGGACAGAGCATACCAGGGGAACTTGTCCTGAGACCAGGTTCTTTATATGTCTCCAAACTGATTTAGTTATGCTCTAAAAAGGCACGGTAGTCACACGCCATTGGAGAGGAGAAATCAGCATCAGAAAGAGAGATGTAATTGGGATAAACTCTTCTCAAAACCAGGCATCTTACAGCCCTCTTCAGCTGCCCAGAGGAAGTACAGGAGATGTATGCTACCAAGCACCTCAGCAGAACCCCAGCACATGAGCCTCAACACTGAAGGTGGCTCTGGAAACTCAACTGAAAAACTTGTTTTTAAAAAAAATTAGCAGGAAATGTTTTTTTTATGCCAAAAGTTGGCATGCACCAGCCTTTAAATCCCCATTCCATCTCTGTCTTGCATATAAAACTAAAAACATGCTGTTAGAACAACTAAAGAGCAACACAAATTCTCATCCCACGTGAATTTTCAAAATGAAACAGCAGGAAAAAGGAAGCACAAAACAGTTCCATAGATGGGAGAGTCAGGAGGGAGAGCCCAGGTCTCCTGGGTCCCAGTCCTGAGCTTTAGAGATGAGATGACACCAATGTGTCATTAATTATTAATTATGTCACTGCCAGACAAAACTGAGGTGTCCCTGGTCCTAACAACATGCTTGGCATCTCTCTTCCCAGATCTCAGTTATTCCAATGTTGCCATTACCCTGCCCTGTCACAAACCCTTCCTAGGATTCATAACAACATCCAGTGTCCTGCACGGAATAAAATAAACCTCATTCATTTCATCTCAGGGATGGTGAATACTGAGCACACACAGCAGCAGGAAAGCCCATGAAGGAAATGAAATTCTGATGTTCTTCAAGCAGCTGGTGACAAACTGAGAGTTATTTCTCAACCTACATCCTGATGGAGGAGGAAGAAGTTTGAGTCTTCACGGATTTCCTGGAATCAGGAATACGACTTGCTCAATAAAAACTCATTGGCCAACTAAAAAGAAATAAAAGCCCATAAAGGATGAATGTCAGGCCAGGAGGAAGGGCTCTAGGGTGTTTGGGTGGGTGGCCCATGTCCCCTCTGGACCTGGGGTGGGTCCCCACACACCTCACACCCAGCCCCTTGAGTGGGTCCCCACACACCTCACAACCAGCCCCTCAGTGGGGTCCCCTCAACTCAGACCTCAAACCGAGGCCCTGGGGGAGGGGGTCTCCTGACCCAGCTCACAGGAGGGTACCCCTCACCTCAAACATAACCCCTGGGGACTGGGGGTACCCTCACCCAACTCACAGGGGGGTAACCCTCACCCCCTCACCTCAAACTTAACCCCTTGGGTGTACCCTCATCCAGCTACTACGGGTAGCCCCTCGCCCCTTCAACTCACCCCCAGCCCTCGGGGAGGG